CCCACGTCGCCCGCGCCCGCCGCTCCCTTCCCGCTGCGCTCACGTAGTGTTACTATTATTATTCTGAATTATCGTTGTTTTACCTCGTTTTCATGCGTTTAAGCGTCCAGAGGCACCGGGAGCCGTTTTCCAGTGGCTGGAGCGGGTCCCGGCGCCCCGGTTGTGCCGGGCCCGGCTGCCGCCCGCGGCGGATCCCGCGCCCCGATCCAAGGCGTTTTCGCGGGTGCCTTTCTCCGCCGTCGCTTTGCAGCAAAGCTGGAAAAAAAAGTCCCCGCGTTGGGAAATAAAGCGGAGCTGATGGAAACAGTGGTTTGGGAGGGAGAAACCGGCRGGATCGTTGCGGCGCTTAGTAATTCCTGCCCCTCCAGAGGCTCGGGGATGGTGGCCCTCGTCATTCCCGTGGGGTGGCTGCTTCCCGTTGGGAAGTCCGGAATGGTTTGATGTCTCCCGACGCGGGGTGTCTTGGTGGCGGAGCTGCCCGGCCGGGCTCCCGCGCGGATGCGCCGCAGGGAGCACCGGGAATGCCTCCAAACCGTGCCACGGGTTGCTCTCCCGCCGGGAATGGCGCTGGGAGCCGGAGCAGCGTCCCGGGGAACATCCCCACGCGGGGAGGACRGAAGCGGGGAAGGAACCCGGCCGCGTTCCCTGGGAATCTCGGGAATGAGCGCCGGGCCGCGGCGCCGCTCTTTCCTTTCCCGCGTTTTCCTCGGGAATTTTTCCTTTTCCTGGAGCACTGCCACGGGGGGAACGGCCCCGCTTCGGAAGCGAGGGGAGCCGGCATAAAAGCCGGGAATCAAAAAGCTGGGATTAAAACCCCTGGGAGGAAAAGCCGCGGCCGTGTGGGCGCCAAGGGGCGTCGCGGGCGGCCGGGTCTTGGGGCGCCCCGAATCCCCGTCCCCGCGGCGCCCCTTCCCCCGGAGCTCCCCCCAAAACGTCCCCAACGGAGCAGCTGCCTCACGCAAAGTGACCTAAGCTCAAATATTTGAGCTTAAAAAGGTACCAAAGGCACCCAAAAGGCACCAAAGTCCCCTCAAAAAGTCCCCGCTCTGTTAAAATCCACCCTTTAAAAACCAGAGAGAAAAGTTAATATCGCCGCTTCCCGCCTTGCAGATCCCGTTCGTTTTCCTTTCCTTTCCTTTCCTTCCTCTGCCCAAATTATCGCTCCGTTTTAATCGTCTCCGCAGCCGAGCGCCGCTGCCGGGAGCGCTGCTCGCTCCGCTGCCGAGCCCGCCGCCGCAATCGCCGAATAAAAGCCATTCGAGGGGATAAAGTGTCGGTTTGGTCCGCGGGGAGCGAAATATTCCGCGGAATGTCTCGCTTYGGGCGTCGGGGGCGCGCGCGGCGGCAAGCGCGTCCCTGAGCTCTGCTTTCTCTTGCAGCCAGGTGTCCCGAGGATGGATATAGAGGACTGTAATGGACGGTCTTACATATCTGGTAAGCCCAAGCTCGGGGTTTCTTGGGATTTGGGGCTGCTCGGTGGCCCCCCGAGGGGTTGAGGCTGCTCCCGGTAAATGGGCAGTTGTGGAAAGAAGGCAGGAAGAGCCCGCCGCGCCGTGTGATCCTTGAAGGGCTGCGGGAAGGGCCCCGGCTGCGTCGGCCGCGGCCCGGCTGCGTTTCAGCCCCGGGCAGCCGACCTGGAACCGGCGGAAATAACCGGCGGAGCTCCCGAAAGCGCTCGCGGCCGCGCGACGGCCCGGATAACAGCCCCAAACCCCCGCGTTCGTCACCGAAAGCCCCGAAATTCGTCGCTTTTGTCACCTTTAAGTTCTTTGCTGGGAAATCAGGGGGTTTCGCCGCGGCGCCGCGGGGCGGAACAAGGCGGAGGCGGCGGCACGGCGGGCACGGCGCCCGGGGGCCTCTCGGGGGGATTTCACCCCAAAACGGGCGCCCTGATGGTGCCGGTAGCGCCCGCGGCGGCGGCCGGATAACGGGGAGCACAGATATTCCCGCGGATAATGGGGCGCCCGGCTCGGCTCCCGCCTGCCCTTGGCACCTCCGGTTGTTTGCAGAGCAAATACACAGCCCAAGGTTTCCTGGAGCCGGGAAAGCTCTGGGAGAGGGAAGTTGCTATGGGACAGTTGAGGCCCTGGCTTGGAGGACCAAGGAGAATCCGGGCGGCTTCTCCTTCGGGTCTGTTTAGCCTCCGCTTCGGAGGGTTCTGCCTTCCTGCCGCGCTTCCCGCTGCTCCCGACTCCCGGAGGCCCGGGCAGCTCCGGCTCGGAGCAGGGATGTGGAGGCCACTGCAGGGGCTGCGCTCCGAGCGGCGCTGCCGGAGCGGCCGCGCGCGCCGAGATCCCCGGGGATCTGTCGGAGCCGAGCGCTTGGACCGCCGCGTGCGTGGGGATGCGGGAAGCGGCGCCTCTGGATCCGGAGCAGCTCCAGAGCCGCCGGGAAGCGCGAGGGGCCGCATTTAGCTAGCAGGGGAAGGCAGGGAGTTGTGCCCCATTCCTGAGGCTGGGAACCACCGCTTCCCTGGCCTTTCATCCGTGCAGGGGGCTCGGAGCGCCCGGGAGCCTCTGCCAACGGATCGAGGCAGGGCAGGGACTCGAGTTAGGGACGGCGCTGCCGTTCCCGGGGCTGCTCCGGCCTGGCTCCGGAGCCGCGGGCACGGCCTGGCTCCGGGCCRGCCGCCCGGCGTACAGCCCGCCCCACGCTGCAAGCGCCCCGCGCGGTGCCGCCGCCCGCTCCTCGCCCTCGGAAGCGCCGGGAATGGGCTGGATGTGGTGGGAGAGAGGCCAGCTCCAAGGGGGATCCCGGCGGGGAGGCAAATCCCTGGAAAACGCTGCGGGGCCCTTGGGCAGGGCCGGGGCGCCGGGGCCGCTCGGCTGCGGCGAGGGGAGAGTTCCCGCGGCTTGAGCGACTATTTAGGAATCGCATTCCCAGCTGTGCCGGCTTGTCCTCATGAATCCCCCGCGCCGGCCTAACCCGCTGCATTCCCGCTTCCGCAGGTAGCGGGGACTCCTCTCTGGAGAAGGAATTCGGCTCGGCGCTCGCGGGAGCCACGGTGAGCACCCCCAACAGCCAGCACTCCTCGCCGAGCCGCTCGCTCAGTGGTGAGTACGGGGCGGCCGCCGGCGCCCGCGCCGCCCGTTCCGTCCCCGCGGCTCCCGCGTCCCGCTCCGTGCCTCCCGATCCCAAGGGATGAAGTGCCCGGGATGTCCGTGCCCGGGCCATTTGGTCCCCTGATCCCGGGGTTTACGCGCGGCCTGGCCCGGCCCAACTCCTTCCCTGCGCCCACCTGGATCCTCCCTCTTTCCCTTTTGGGTTTTGTTCCTAATTAAGCGAGCGGAACCCTTTTTTCTCCRGTTATACCCCAAAACAGGCAGGTCTGATTTCAGAGCTGTCACAGGCCCCGCRCCGGGCCCGTTAGTCGCCGGTACCGACCCGTGGGGGAGCTTCGGCCGTCGCCGCCGGATTGACCCGCCGGATATCCGCGGGCTTGGGGTTGCTCCCTGCTCCCGCTCCCACCTYTTGGCACGTCCTGGCCGGGGCTTTTCCCTGGCAAAGAAACTCCCACTCATTTATCCGCATGGGCTTCCCGCAGCGAGGTCCTTGGGACACCCCCGCTAAGGTCCTGGCGTTGGAAGGTTGCCGCTTCTGAAGCGGGATGAAACAACCCCCTGGATCACCTTTTCGGAGGGGATAATTCTCTATTAGCTCTGTTCCCTTCATCGCTTGCTCTTTATTCTATATTTGCCCTRTAAAAGTGCTCCGAAGCTCTGCAAAGAAGCGAAATCTCCGTTTTTTGGGCCGAGGCCGGTCCTGAGACGTAACGCGGCTTGTCCACTTGATCGTAAGCCGAAGGCCCGGAGCCCGGGGGCTGCCGGAAAGGCCGACACCGCGGCCGCTTCCCGGCGGGATGCTGGTGATGGTATTGCCTCTGATCCGATGTGACTTCCCAGCTGGTTCATGCAGCAAGCCCCGTGCCCAGGAGGAGCGGGAACGTTATATAACCTGTGCCGCCAGCAGAGACTCCTCTGCAGCGAGGCCGGACTCCGCGCCGGGTCTGAAAGGCGAATGGCAGAACAATAGTTGGCCTCCCTTCCGCGCCCGGGAAAGAAAAGACGTCCCTGGGGGAAGGGGGACAAAAACCAGGGACTGCGAGTGCAGCAAACGTCAACTCGTCCAGGCAGCCGCTGCCACCGCGAGGGGAGCTTTTCACTTCGTGTTTGTGCACGGAAGCGTCCGCGCGCCGCGGATCCGCCGCCCCTGACGAACAGCGCTGCCTTCCCGCCGGGCGCCTTGGGAGCGGAGCGGGGCCGGGAATGCCGGCGGGAATCCAGGAAGCGCCGAGGGGAGGCGACGCTTGGGGTTCCTCMGCCTGCCAGGAGCTCCGTGCGCTCCCGCCGTGGCCCCGCGCGCGGGGGACGTCCCACGGCCACCCCGGATCAGGGATTCCCGGGAAGCAGCCCCGTCCCGGGTGCTACAGGTCGGCTCCCACCGGGTGCTGGGGCTGCCGGGCGGGCGCCCCGGTTCCTGCCCTCGCACAGAGCCGAAACGGCCCCGGGCCGGAGGCGGCAGCGGGTCGGGAGCTGCAGGGAGCGCGGCGCGGTTCCGCCCCGGACACCCCGTTCCCGTGGCCACCACGCGCCCGTACCCCGCGGCGGCTCCGGTGTGTGCGGGAAGTTCGGCTTCCTCCGGCCCCCGCGGTTCGGCTCTGAAGGGCTTGGGAAGCGCCGCCTGCTTTACATGGAAGAAATGGGACTGGGGGATTTGCAGGGATTCTGTAAATATTTTGCTGAAGGCCRCGGGAGCTGCGCGCGGGTGAGCTGGGCTGGGGCTGGCGCCGCCGGAGCAGGTAGCATCCGCCCCGGCGCCGCTTCCCGCCCGGGCACGGAGCCTCCCGGGGTGACTCCCGGGAAAGCGGGAGGGAACRTCCCGTTGTGGAGCGGCAGCTCCCGGCGCTGCGAGGTGGGAYGAGGGCGCGCGGCCGGACGCGGGACGGGCTCGCGCTCACCGCCCGCCTCGTCCCGGGGGATTTGCGGCATTCCTCGGATCATTAGAATAGCGAGGAATGTAGGTCACGGCTGGCGCATCCCGATGCCGCGGGAGCCGCGCGGGAGGCGGCGCCGCGGCCGGGACGCCGCGGGACGGACGGAGCGGCCGGCACCGTCCTGCGCCAGGCGGCTCCGCGGGGTCCCTCCCCCCGCGGCCCTGTTCCCGTCTTCCCGYGCGGATGGAAACTCGCGGCAAGGCCCCGTTTCTGCAGCGAGCTGCATTTACCGACCGCCTAGAAGGACTCGTGCGAGGCGCCTTGTGCCGGTTGATTCCCAGTCTTTATTGACTCCGAGAGTCAAAACGCGGTGTCTTCTGCTTCCTCTAATGCCCTTTCCATGCAGGAGTGGGACTTTTTTCCCCTCTCTCTCTGAACCCAGGGAATAAAATGTTCTTTCTTCAGCTGGCCGCCTTGCAGGGCGGAATGCAAAGCAATGATCTGTGGGGTGTGAAACCCGCCATCCGGCTGTAACCTCCTGCGAGCCGCGTTTCATGTCTGCCGTGACGCCGTCACGGGGCTGAGAACGCCCGTGTGTCACAACCGGGTCGCTTGGGGCGTCAGCGGGGTCTCTTTTTGGGGGGGGGATCGTTTCTAAACCCCAACTTGTCGAGGTTGCCRTTTCTTTGCCCCTCCTCATGCTCTCCGCTTGCTCGCAGCGAACTCGATCAAGGTGGAGATGTACAGCGATGAGGAAGGCAGCCGGCTGCTCCCGCAGGACGAGCGCCTGCTCGAGAAGGAGGACAGCGTCATCGTGGAGGACTCGCTCTCGGAGCCGCTGGGCTACTGCGACGGCTCGGCGCCGGAGCCGCACTCGCCCGGCGGCATCCGCCTGCCCAACGGCAAGCTCAAGTGCGACGTGTGCGGCATGGTGTGCATCGGCCCCAACGTGCTCATGGTGCACAAGCGCAGCCACACCGGTGAGCGGGCGGCGCCCGGGGGCSCGCCGGCGACGGGCCGGGATGTGGGAGCGGGGTTCTGGAGCGGGCGCCGCGGCTCAGAGGCTCCTGCCCCCAACCCCAGCCGGGTTAATCGGCCCAGATGGAGCCCCCCGAGGGACCGGGTTTGGCAGGGTCGGGTTGGGGGGGTTATGGTTGGACTCGGAGATCTTGAAGGTCTTTCCAACCCTTTGGGGATCTTGAAGGTCTTTCCAACCCTTTGGGGATCTTAAAGGTCTTTCCAACTGTTTGGAGATCTTAAAGGTCTTTCCAACCGTTCAGGGATCTTAAAGGTCTTTTCAACCCTTTGGGGATCTTAAAGGTCGTTCCAACTGTTTGGAGATCTTAAAGATCTTTCCAAGCATTTGGAGATCTTAAAGGTCCTTCCAACCGTTCAGGGATCTTAAAGGTCTTTCCAACCATTTGGGAATCTTGAAGGTCTTTCCAACCGTTTGGGGATCCTAAAGATCTTTCCAACTCTTTGGAGATCTTGAAGGTCTTTCCAGCTCTTTGGAGATCTTGAAGGTCTTTCCAACCCTTTGGGGATCTTAAAGATCTTTCTAACCGTTCAGGGATCTTAAAGGTCTTTCCAACCCTTTGGGGATCTTGAAGGTCTTTCCAACCCTTTGGGGATCTTGAAGGTCTTTCCAACCCTTTGGAGATCTTGAAGGTCTTTCCAACCCTTTGGAGATCTTGAAGGTCTTTCCA